GTTGTTTATTTTGAGCTGCTCTTGTTCTTGGAATACTTTGGTTTCTCGAAGAAATACAAAACAAACCAGGTGTGTTTACTTTGCAACTCACGCCATGTGGACATCCTGTATTTACCCGGCGAACGCAAACAAATCCACTGAAGTTAATTTGAGAGAAAGGTTTGTTTTTATTCCACAAATTAAACCAAATATCCGCTAGTAGATCGTGTACTAAAATAACCACAATATCGTTTTGTAATCCAATATCAAAGTGCGTGATTAGTAGCACCCATATAAAATAATGATTTTAAAACAATAAACAGTTCGTAAATAAATTAACAAGGTTTTGAAAGTACGTGCGAGGATTAATTTGGAATCACACCGACGGTAATGCGGTTTCACTAAAGTCCACTAGAGAGAGCCAAAACGCTACTTTTTTGGAGTCACTTTCTCAAAAACAATTTTCACTGTTTTTGATGTTTTTCATTTTGACTCATTTCTTTCATACGTTTAGACTTCTAACTTCTGATCCAAATGACAGAACATATGAACAGTTCTAATGAAAACTTGACTTCGCTTGTATGAGTTTAGGTGAAGTGAACTACAGCAATCCTATTCAGTATTTATTTTTTATTTTTTACCACATTTGTTTTGGAGGCATTTTAGGTGGAACCAGCAACAGTTTTCTAATGTTCCTGGAGGTCACCCACTGCTTTGTTCTCCATTAGTTCACATTATAGACACCCCCTAAACAAAAGTGATGAAACTGACACCCAGGTTCTGCCGACACCAGTCATTCACTGACCAAGTCTCAGTCACTGCTTTTCTAGCTTGGACTTTTTCACAACATTTTCTTGGACTCAGTTTTCTGCAAAAAGATGAAGCCACTGCTGAGAAGATTTTCTCCAGATGGCGCTGCTTTGTGGTATTATGTAAGATTATTTCTTGGTTCCATTATTTTGGCCTGGTCCCTTAATCTTCTGGCTGAAATACAGCCACAAACAATTCCAGAGCCTCTCTGATGTTTGGTTAAAGTTTCTCCAGGAGACCCAGTCTTAGTCTGGTCATTGTGTATTTTCATCTTTATTATACAGAACATTTTGATCAAGTTGATAAAAAACCCAAATGACCTGAAGTGTCTATGGTTGAGTTGTCCAGTTACCCCCTGAAACCCTGAATGGTGTTTTATGGTGCTATCAACATATCTGCTATTTTTTCTTTCTAACCTGATGTGCCCTGATCATTATTTTTATATTTAAAAGAAATGATTTTAATACAGCAGCTGAGCAGACATTTTGTTTGTGTCCTCCAAAAGGCCTCGACCCCTTTAAGAAGTGGGTCTTAAAGAATGAGTCACCTTTAAAAAAAATGTCTCTCCCACTTTCTAATATTGGAACTATGGCCAGGAGTGTCCAGAGAAAACCCACACACACACTGTGGGAAACATCCAAAGGCCATCTGTCTTAGCCCGGCTACAAAGAAGTGACCTTTTTACAGGAAGGAAAAACAGCTCCATCACCAGTTCATCGTGCAGTTACACTTGTGTTTCATGAAACCACTGCTACGGGAACTGATTTGTGTCCTCTCTGGTACTGACTAGATCCTGGTCCACTGGTGTCCAGTCAAGACTCTTCATGTTGTTCACATGAATGAGCAACGCTAGCATATTTGCCGGAGCTGCAACCATTTTGTATAAATGTTAACAAACGGCAGAGACAATGTTGTGGACACCAACAGTTATGTGTGTAATTATGCTAACAGCCAGCGGTGCTCACACTCTTGTACCTGCCGTTGTGGACCTTCAGCGTTTCTCCTTCTCTTTTTTCTCCGCTCTTCTTTTCAACACATAAGATACTTAGTTACCATGGAAACACACTTGCAGCAACCAGCGTCGTGAGGCCAGTCAGCTGAGTCTGGTAAACAGTCCCTTCAGACTTGGACTGGACCTGTTGAGTTTCTGTCAGAAATTGTAAAATCGTGTTGACATCAAACAAAGGTCACAGGTGCCAGGAAGGTGTGGAGTTGAGACAATGGGAAGGTTGGAGGAGGGGGTGAGGTGTGTGTGGGAGGGGGGGTGCACTGGGAGTGAGGCTGTAACTGCAGAGCAAACGTAAGACTCTCTCATGCATCAGACACATTGTACAATTAAATATAATGTGTCATTAACATAAACCCAGGTTTGTGCAGCAGTCACTTCACAGAGACTGTACTTTCTGCACACACAGTTTAAACTGAGTGTGCATTTGATTTTAGGAAAAACATACAAACCAGGGATGCCAAAACTCCGATTTGGGGCCATTTCTTGCCAGTGAATCCCAACATCTGGCCCAAAATAAGCCGTCAATAATAATAATTTAATTTAGCCTATTGATGATTTAGAATTGATTTAGATGATTTAGGTGATTTAGAAACACTTTTTTAGGTGATTTAGGTGATTTAGAAACACTTTTTGACACTAGTATTATACAGAACTTACATTGAATAAAACAAATACTTGTTTTATTTTGTACTGACCATCATTGGCAGCAGTGGGCCTCAGTGAAGATTTGCTTTCTACTGCGCACATTTTACTCAGTTTTTTTACTTCATATTTACGGGAAAAAAAACAACATGAATTTTTTTTTACTGACCATCATTGGCAGCAGTGGCCCTCAGTGCATTTGAGTTTTAGACCCTGATAGACAAAAAACATAATATTTGATACATTTAAAAATACTTGGAAGATTTGCTTTCTACTGCGTACGTTTTACTCAGTTTTTTACTTCATATTTACGGGAAAAACAACATTTTATTTTGCTGGAACTCCAGGTAGTTCTGCCCTAGAAGTTACTCTCATTTAGTCATGATTGCACCTATGGTTAAAGCTGACGTTCCGTAAGTGGAACAAAGTCACTCAGTCCTTGACCCACTCATCAACAGCAGCTCGCCTGAATCACAGAAACAACCCTGCAGCACCAGGATCAGAACAAAGGGGAGGAAACACACGAGTGGACGGAGTTGACAAATAACAAAGTGACGTGTAGAGAGAGAAGGAACCGAGTGGACGGAGCTGACAAATAACAAAGTGACGTGTAGAAGGAACCACTGTTAGAACAGAGAAACATAGACAGTATAAACACACACAGAGTATAAAGGGTTCATTAATGCACAGACAGTGTCTTAGCCTTAAAAACCTCTAAATTGTGCCACGATAACAAGTCTGCTCCTCAGTGATCCTCACCCTCGTAGGAAACATTGTCTTTAAGTCCTTGGCAGTAGCAGCACAGACTGGAGCAGCGGCCTCTAATTGGCTGCCAGTGAGATTTTTACACTCTTTAAATTGAATTTTCTATTTCTAGCCTTGGAAATACACAGTATATTTTGCATATTTATAAATAGATACGTGGATATTTAGCCAGATATTGGTTGAAGGGAGTCATGGACAATACAATCAAGTGTAATGTTAGAGAAAGTGACACAGGGTTGGTTTTTAAAGAAGCTGAGGGACTCACTGATTATAGTGACAGGTTTAACATCAGGTGGAGCTTCAGCCTGTGAAAAGAACGTGTTTATCAACCACAGCAATGGGGCCCACATATTTTTTGGCCACCGTCCCCCTTCCATGTCCCAACTGGATTGATGTTCACCCAATTCGTGACATCTTCCAAACAAAACCTAAATAAATAAAAGCAACGAGCAGAACAAAAAACACAAACACATTTCTAGCCTGCAGTTATGTATTAATTTAAATACCAGCGTTTGATTTTAAATTTCATTTACACGTCTTTATTTTGATTTAAAAAAAAAAAACCCAGACTCCGAACCGTCATCACATTTTGTTTTTTAAATCTCGCGCACCACCTAGTGGCAGCTCGGAATCCTTGGACTAGAGCAAGTATAAGTGAATGGAATTTGGGATTATCGGCGTCACAGAGTGTCATTCGCTAAAAGTTTATTTCTTTCTTTCTTTTAATCTGATCAATAAGACAAATGATGTTTCTCAGCCCGTATTAAATGTTTACTTTTTTTCTGTTTAACCACCATCGGACAGTCGTAGAACTTCTGAACCTCCCCTGGTTTTGTAGGACCAGTGGGAATCTGCTTCATCCTGAAGGTGAGTAACTCCTCCGCCTCGTATCCTAAACCTTTTATTCTCTCCCACATCACTGTTGAGAAGATAATCGCTGCACTTGTTCTCCAGGGCAGCAACCCCTACAGAAGAACTGACAGGAAAAAAAAGGAACCATCTTCGTATGGAACAATCTTACACCACTACAGCGTGCTCTCCAAAACCACCCACTAGTATCCTGAGCTCCTGACCTAGTTAGTTGAAGGTCGAACACATTTAGCAGTGAAGGAAATACTCCAACAAGCAGCGACTGTTTCCCGCTCTGCTGCAGGGGAACTTTCTGCTCAGGCTGAATTGATCTCTCATTTTTCTTTCTCCTTAAATCCCACCTGACCTTTTTTTTTAGAAGAAGTGGGGCAAAATCAGATCTGCTGGAAAAGCCGTCTGCTACCAGGCTGAGATTGTGCTGAGCAGACAGAGTGGGAAAATCCTACAGTCACAGAAGCACGGTCAATATTTGGGAGCAGGGCTAGAAAATGAAAATGTACATCTCCATCGATCTCCACGGCGATCTCTTCTACTGTCTGCTGGGAATCCAAACACTTGGGTCTTTTCAGAGGAGTGAGGGGCCTGTGAATCCAAATCACAGTTAAATTAATCTCAAATCAGAGGGGCCTGTGAATCCAAATCACAGTTGGGGGGGGGGGTTAAATTAATCTCAGATCGTGTCATAATAATTTATGGTGACC